TTTTAAAATTGGTAAATAAACAAAAAATAAAATCTACACATTTAAAAAGTACATAAAAAATTCTACAAAACAAAGGATGACAAAAATAATTTATTTTATCAAGTAGTAAATGAAAACACACGAATAAACAAAAAATCTCGCAATTTTTGAATAGTAAAGTATGTAAATAATTTAAGGACGGAGGGAGTATTTAAAAAGAAAATGGGGTAGCCCTATGCATATCTAAAGTAGCCCCGTAAATTTATAGGCAAGGGAAAGCAGAATTAGTTCAAATAGCATTGAAGAAAGTAGTGCAAGAATTATACAAAGCATCTTTAATTCAAAGTAAATGCTTTTTGTGGGTTTGCATAAGAAACTTATTTTGCACCAACTACTCACGGAAGCAATACTTCAGTTCTTGCCAATTTCTTCCTCAATGTTCTGAAAAAGAAGAAAAGAAAATCATTAAAGAGACTTTTTTAATCCAATGGTAATTGATTTGGTTGCATGATTCATAAAAAAGGCTTCCTTTGGGGACATCCTTTGTCACTAGCATTAGCATTTCAGATAATTTTTTAGTTCTGCTAATTAACTTTGAAAACACTAAAACCGAACATTCTAAAGCTAATACTTGACAGAATCAAATACTACAAACAATCTTTTGTCCCTGGAATAACTCAAACAAAGAAATAGCAAAGAAAACGCATAATAAAATTGAAAATGTAATCGAAACGCAATTGAAAATAAAAATGTATTGTTCAAAATGTATAAAAAAGAAAAAGTATAATAAACCATCTTAAAAAAACATTTCTAAACAACATTACACTACTGCCTCAAAGGCTCTTGCATAATACGGGGTTAGGGGAGTCGGATGTATGCCACACACCCTATGTTTTGGCAATTGTTTCCAGATAACCGATGACGAGCGCTGAAAATTGTATTGACTAAGTGCTACTTCACTATTGAAAGAAATTAAGGAGCCGTTTTGCTTTATTCCATCATACTCTCTGTCCGAAAATGTTCTTCTCGTTTGACTTTTCATGCTCTACAATATTACTCCGTATATTTTAACAATTATTATCTATATTTATACATAGGTATACTCCATATTTTATAAAAATTTGATGTTTCAAAACTATGTTTCATTAAGAATATATTGATATTAAATTTATATCATAGTACAATGTGTTTTCTCTACAACTCGAAGTCCAAGTTTTCAAGCTTTGACCAAGAAAAGTCAAATATGAACAATATTTTCGGACGGAGGAGTAATACCTGAATGCCAAAAGATAATGAATCTATAGAAATAATAAACCGTTTTGAAAAATATATTTTAAAAAAACTCTCTTTTTTATGACTAAAGAAAGCTGATGAAATTAGCTGTCAAAAAGAGTCTTATGGCATTGCAGTAATACAAAACCTCTCAGTAAAATTAAGAAAATAAATTCACGGCGCTGTAAAAATGGAGCATTTCAAAATCTATACCTTCCCCAATTTCACTGCCTGAGCTTTGGCCATCTCTTCTTCCTTCTTCTTCTTCTCTAACCTCTCCCTCTCCATTTTCTTTTCCAGCGAAATTGTTTGAAGACGTATAAATTCAACCCGCGAATCAGATCTACGCACTTATGTGATCGGAAAAGAAAACACGAGATTGAGGAAATTCAAAGCACAGAAGGGGGATTGTGATTGTACCTGAATATAGACGGTCTCTTTGGCACGTTGTTCTTCACTGAGGACGCGGCCTCCGTCGCTGAAGCAACGGATACCCGCCGCCGATGATCGGCCGGCCAATGAGCTGCATTCCGGTAAACGACGGAGGCAAACGGCAGATTGCAGGGCCATACTTAGCGGAGAATGGCTGACGATTACACAAAACCCTAATAAATAGTCTGCCATTTTGAACCTCTTGCCCGTGGATCAAGAAAGGGGCAAATTTGGGGTTTTCAATATTTGACTGCACTTTTTTAATCCATTTTATCTTGTAATTTGTATATTAAAAAATTATACAAATTATATATTAGTAATCTATATGTTAAGACGAATCAAACAAGATCACACATGACTATTTTTATACTTACACATTAAGAGAATTTGATGAGTCAAAGTGCTTAGATGAACAGTTCCAAAAGTCAAAAGTGGACAAAAACAATGAGACGAAGGTAGTAAAATGCTTCATATATTAAATTGGGGTATAAATAAACTAAGGAGGGTGTATTAATTGGGACATAAATTACAACAAATAAAATTTGAATGTATACAATTCAGATTTTAAAAAATCCTTCTAAATATGATGGTATTCAAAAGTTGATAGATTTTTAATAATGTTGATTTTGATGGATTTTCATGTCTTACTTATTGATGGTGTAAATACTGTGCAAATATTAAGTGTAAACGAGCTGAAGGGTTGTAGGTGGAAACACCTGTAACCCGGTTTGTTAATAAAAGTAGGACTATTACAAAGTACAAGCCGTGTAGGTTAATTAAAGCATGTCCCACAAATGAGGCTTTTAGTCCTATTTATAATAATCTCTAAGCACGTATTTGTTAATCCGGCCGGTCAGCTCCCTGACCGGTCAGTTTGTATGCCTTCGCCAGAAGAAGTCATGTCCTTGATTTCGGACCTTCTCACCCCCGACCGGTCAGACTGCCCGGGTCGACAGTGTTATGGAGTGTTGGTTTTGATACCTCCTGGTTAGTGCGAACCTACCGGATGGAATCCATGGGTTATTACCCATCACTTATAAATACAAATCTAGATTTCAAATCCAACCAACAGCTCTAGGATTTTGCCCACTCCTCTTCTTCCGTACGAATTAGGATGATCTTGTTTCTCCTTCTTTGATTTGTCGGTGGCACCAAGACACACATCGACGATTTCTGATGGATCAAATTGAACCAATGGCGTGTAGTTCAGGGGTAAATCCATGGTGAAATTGGTGTCTCCGAGGAGGAGGAGACCTGAAAAATATGAACTTGAAATGTAGTACGAGAATTTCTTAAAACCCATTTAAGAGAGGAAAGACAGAGATCCATGGTTTAAACCCATCTAGTGGGATTTCAGATTTGTAATGTTCGATTTTTTATTTTTTGTTTAAAATTGCGTAGATCCCAAGCGCACCGGCAAAACAGAAGAAGGCCAGGGGATGGAGAAATAATCAGATTGAAATTTGATGGACTTTTTAAAATCTTAAAAATTTTGATTCAGATCTATTTAAATCTTTATGGAATTACAATGTTCCATAAATTCTACAAAATCCATTGATTCTTAAAAATTTAAAAGAATCTTTTGAAATCTTAATTGAATACACCTCCTTAAATATTTATAGATTAATTTTGAAGCACCGCCTTAGAATTTTTTTAGTTCATTTTATCTTGTAATTTGTATATTAAAAAATTATAGAAATTATATATTAATAATCTATATGTTAAGACAAATCAAACAAGATCACACATGACTAAATTTAGACTTATACATTGAGAGAATTTGATGAGTCAAAGTGCTTGGATGAACCGTTTCAAAAGTCAAAAGTGGACAAAAATTGGGGGACGGAGGGAGTATATAGTACAGTACTTCGTATTAGTCTAAAACCTATTTTGGGGTATTTTAAAAAGTTGAACACCAACTTCTCGGTCCTCGGTCGAAATAGTAGGTTCGGGGAAGATAAATTGAAATGTAATTTTAGTTTGATTGAAAAGAGGGTGGTCTAGTACACGTAAAAATCCCATGCATAACTTGATTATTCTGTATCGTCGTTGCAATAATTCAAACTTGAGTTTACACTCGTGACACTACAATCTAAATTCTTCAGTAGTAGAAAGAGAAAGATAATTATGCATGACCTCTCCGTGGTATCTACATAGTTATCCCGTCATTTAAAAAGTGTATCACATTTCTATTCGGCGAGATGCAATATACATCATACATATGCGACGATACTCATTTATGAGTAATTGAATATACATTTTCGAGTAACTAAATACTCATTTTTTGAGCGATTGAATATTCATTTTCAAATAGCAAAATATTATTTTTAATTTAGTTATGCTAGAAAATGAGTATTCAGTTATTCGAAAATTAGTATTTTGTTACTCGAAATAGAGCATTCAGTTACTTTCAAATGAGTATCTAGTTACTCGAAAATGATAATTTATGTGGTGTACGAGAAAAACCGTACATTGGATGTATGGTGTAGGTACTCCAAGTGGGAAGATTATGTGTAAATTTTGAATCATAGAGTCTTATTGAGCTTATTGTACCAATACATCATATATTATGGTTGGATAAATGTACGCTGTTATCTCTAGAGAGGTTTCAAAACTTACATCATTGTGTCCTTCTTGTATTTAATATTTATATGCTCACTAGACTAGAATACACTTCAAACCTTAGGTGAATGGCTACACTGCTTCTTATGATTTTGAAAATAGGCCACAACGTCCATCTCTTTTTTTTCTTTATTATTATTTTTTATGTAAATAAACTCGGGTCTAACCCGATCAAACTTATTTGAGCTATATGCATATATAGTTCATATAGTGTTTCATAAGTGCGTAAATAATCTTCAAACTTTTAAAAATTGTCAAATAATCAATGTGGTCAAACAATTTCGTAAAATGTTCAAAACACGAGTGTATTATGCAAAGATATCAATTATGTAACAGTAAAAAAACTAATCTAAAATTTCAGTTGTGATGTGTAACTTTGAACCACAGTACAATATCTTCCATCTTTTAATTGAACTCTTTTAACGATTTTTCTGTCTCTTTTATAGTGATATTCTTGAGTCGTAGTACAATGTTCTATATGAATTCGACATTATTCTATGCTCAAATAATTTTATTGTAAGGTAATATGGTGTGAAAATAGAGTACATAAAAGACCATTCCTTATCTTTAACACCACTAAGACGAGAGCAATTTTCATAAGATTAATTTCTTTTTTTGTGCTTCACTTTGATCAATTATTAAAAGACAAAAACTATTTGTGCATACAACTCAATTTTTTTTAGTGAAATTTGCATAAACATCTGTCATTTCCCATGTCTTCTTCTTCATCAGCAATTTACCCCTAGGCAACTAGCACAGAGAGATTCTCTAAGTAAGAAAAGCGCAAATCGAGTTGCTGTTTCTCTAATTGCTCATCCGATCGGTTAAAACAAAAGTTGCGGGCGAAGTTCGTCGGAAATTCGGCCGAGGAAAAATGGTGTCGGCGAACAGGGAAATGGCGGTGTACTGTTTCGACACCTTGGTGGCTCACTGCAACAGCGAAAAGCCTCCTCTTCCTGCTTTCCACGACGACGATCAGTAAGCATACGGTTGCATGAATCTCTTTCGAAAAACCCCATCCTCCTTTTTTATTTTTTTGTTATTAATAATTTTGCATTTTGATGAGTTCACCTAACATCTAAGAGGGCTATGGCGAGCTAGCAATCAAATTTGAACCTTTGATTGTGTATTTGTTTTGATGAGTTTTATTGAATCCAAAAAGGGTTGGGCTGGTTAGTACATGTGACTTCTCTATTGGTATTCATGGAGTATATACATAAGATACTCCCAATATTTTGGTTCCTCATTTGACTTTTTAGGGTTTTGGCAAGGTTTGCTTACGCACACCCTCCCAGACCCTAGGCTTGTGGGGTCGAACTGGATTGTTGTTGTTGTATATATACTCCCTCCGTCCTATTATTAATTTCTCGTTTTGACCAAGGCTCATTTTTAAGGGGGAGTAAAATGTGAATTGACTTTCCATAAATGCCCCTCCATTACAAATTATAGGGTAGGAAATGATTTAACAACTGTAGACAATTTAAAAAAGCTAAAAGAGTACAATTATATTGTAAGGATGAGAGAAAATGACTATTCATTAATCATTACACCATAAGGAGATTTTTTTACAGTTCCCTCCAATATTTTTCTAACCAAAGGAGCAATTATTTACACTTCCCTCTAAAAAATTTCCACCAAATTCTAAAAAGTGCCGCCAATCAACATCTATAAATAGAAGAAATTTTCCATTCTTAGAACCCACTGCCCTCCTTTTTTCTTCTACTGCTACTTTCAGTAGCCCTTCTAAAATCTTTTCTCAATCTTTATTTTCTTCTACTGATACTTTCAGCACCCTTTTTGTCTCCAAGCATGCCTACAACTTCTCCCCCTTATACATACCTGCAAGCAGAAGGGTTACCACCAGACCTCCAATCAAAGTACAAAAGGCTCTCTAACACTACCAAGCAACAAATAATTGATGAACTCCTGAAGCATTCAAAGCAAATATTCACTGGAGAGTACACAGTTCAGAGAGGCATAATCAACAAGTTAGCTACAGAT